CACATGACCTATCCCTACGAAAGCCATGTTGCGCATTCGACAAAATATTGTGAGGTTCACATTATATCATCAATTCCTTCTTGATGGTCTTCTCCATTACTTTACAGCATATGAAGGTCAGACCCACGGGTCTGTAGTTGTTCGCAGCTGAACGTCTACCGCTTTTGTAAAGCGGTGCAATATGTGCTGTTTTCCAATCCGGAGGAAGGATTCCAGTATCAAACGATTTCTGGCACATCATGGAAAGTGGCTTAGCCAGCTCTCTAGCAAGTTTGGTGAGCAATTTCGCAGGAATCTTATATGGACCCTGATTTTTACATTCCTTCAAGCTTTTTATTTCTTGGAATGTCGTATCTTCTCCAAACAAAATATCCTCAATATTTGACGCTCCCGCGATCTCGTCACTAGTTGCAACAAAGGCAGGTTCTGTGGTGAAAACCGACTGAAAGAACTCAGCTAAGTTTTCTGCTTTGTTTTTACAGTCGGAGATTTCGAGACCATCATCATCGAAAAGATGAATTTAAAAATTATGAGAGATGCTCAGATTTTGCTCTTTCCTCACTAATTTCTGTTTTGTCGCTTGCCTTAAGAAGGGAAAGTGGGTCCCGTTGTACGCCATTATCATCGTTTCTGATGAAGACTGCTTCTCGAAAAACTTCGGCACCTTCCTAGGGCCACATTTTGAATACGCGTTTCAAGCCTGGAGACCGTGAATGTGACAGGATTATAGCGTACGCGAAAGGTTGAAGCGGCGGGCCACAAACTTAGGAAGAGGTAATGGTACACTACCATATGAGATCCGCCTAAATAACCTTAATCTGTATCCTCTGAGTTATGCGCGGTTACGCAAAGATTTGGTACGAACATGCCGTTTCGTGCGTGGCTTGTACTACACTCATATATGTGACGAATTTTTCCCACTCGCCACTAAAAGTGATCTCCGGGAGACATCACTTCAAACTGTATGCCCCAAGGACGATTGGACGTGAGGAAGTATCCTCTCTCAAACAGAGTCGTGGACCCAAGAAATAACCTACTTGAATAGATTGTTATGTTCCAATCTGTAGAAATATTCAACCACCGACTTGATATCCATAATTTGCAGCACAAGCTGAATTATGGTAATAAAGAACTTTGCGACACCAATGTGACTCTGTCTACATCTACCTTAGTGAATATTTTCTACACTGTTTCTAGTTTTTGATATTTTTATGTAAAAAATGGGAAATTTAAAGACGTAAGCCTATTATTCCCCAAATACACTGACTGAGTTCCGGAGATATTGAATCCCCGGGCATGTCATATTCTACTGGTTTTAACCTGTCAGAACATTGTGTTTTGACTGTCAGCGATCGATAAAGAAACTAACTGGCCTCACTCTTCCTTGGGGCTCATTCTCGAGCCCCATCAACGGGCTGCATGGAGGCTAGTAACCTAGGCAGATCGAATTAGCAGAAAAGATAAGGGACACAGTTTTCGCAATCTGCCTGCTCCCTTTTGATAGTTTAAATCGCTCACTGGCATGTGTTATAGGTACACAAGCGAACATGACTCACAACTCTATAGCAGAGGCTACTGTACATTTTAACATATACACTTATACATGCC